ACCCCATGCTTTCAGCCAGCCGGCCGAGCTGGAATTGCAACAGTGTTTCAATTATAGAACCCAAACAAACCCAGATATCTGCTTTCAGCAGCCAAGGTCTCAGAGCTGGAGCCGAGCCTCAGAGCTAAAGTCGGCTCTCAGCTCCAGTGACAGCCATAGAAGGTAAATAAATCCCAGAATAAAAAACCTGCCCTGAGTGTGACGGGGGGAGTGCCCCAACCCCCTGATCGGCCCTGCTCTGTGTGTGACATGGTGCGGCGCCCCAACCCCCCCATGGGCCCTGCTCTGTGTGTGATGGGGTGGAGCCGCAACCTCCCCATCAGCCCTGCCCTGAGTGTGACGGGGGGAGTGCCCCAACCCCCTGATCGGCCCTGCTCTGTGTGTGACATGGTGCGGCGCCCCAACCCCCCCATGGGCCCTGCTCTGTGTGTGATGGGGTGGAGCCGCAACCTCCCCATCAGCCCTGCCCTGAGTGTGACGGGGGGAGTGCCCCAACCCCCTGATCGGCCCTGCTCTGTGTGTGACATGGTGCGGCGCCCCAACCCCCCCATGGGCCCTGCTCTGTGTGTGATGGGGTGGAGCCGCAACCTCCCCATCAGCCCTGCCCTGAGTGTGACGGGGGGAGTGCCCCAACCCCCTGATCGGCCCTGCTCTGTGTGTGACATGGTGCGGCGCCCCAACCCCCCCATGGGCCCTGCTCTGTGTGTGATGGGGTGGAGCCGCAACCTCCCCATCAGCCCTGCCCTGAGTGTGACGGGGGGAGTGCCCCAACCCCCTGATCGGCCCTGCTCTGTGTGTGACATGGTGCGGCGCCCCAACCCCCCCATGGGCCCTGCTCTGTGTGTGATGGGGTGGAGCCGCAACCTCCCCATCAGCCCTGCCCTGAGTGTGACGGGGGGAGTGCCCCCACCCCCTGATCGGCCCTGCTCTGTGCGTGTCAGGGGGCGGCGCCCCAACTCCCCAATCGGCCCTGCTCTGAGCCCGACCAGGGGCTGCACCTAGGGATTGTTCCTGCCCTCTGCCACCTGGGAGCAGGCCTAAGCCAGCAGGTCGTTATCTCCCGAGGGGTCCCAGACTGTGAGAGGGCACAGGCCGGCTGAGGGACAACCCCCCCACCAGTGCACAAATTTTTGTGCACCGGGCCTCTAGTCTCTATATATAAAAGCCTAAGTGACCGTTATGACTGGATGACTGGCTGGTAGCTATGATGCACACTGACCACCAAAGGGCAGATGCTCAATGCAGGAGCTGCCCCTTGGTGGTTAGTGCACTCCCACAGCCAACCTCCCGCAGCCAGCCAACCTCCCACAGTCCCTTCCCCTGGCCGGCCAACCTCCCGCGGTCCCTCCCCTCTGCCAGCCAGCCCCCATCAGCCCCGATTGCTGGCCAGGCCAAGGGACCCCACCCATGCACGAATTCGTGCACCTGGCCTCTAGTTGAATTATAATGTAGAACTGAAACTTGTATAATGTTATAAACCCATAAATTTACCTCATTTAAAATTATGAGTAAAGTAAAACATTATCACATCCTACAACTGTCTTTGTTTTTCTGTATCTAAAAATTATCTGTGATTGTCATTATTAGTTTAATTACTAATTTACCTTTTACTCTCTGTTCTTATTATTCTGTATCAATTTTTTTCCTGGGAATTTGAGAAGAAATACTGCAGTTACAGTTCACAGTCAAATACTTTTGCGTTTTAAAATTTTTTATAAACAATGGGTGAATAATTTTGTTTGGATCCTACAACCATTTTTAAAGTACAGTTTTGTTTTGTTTTTTAGCTTCCAGTAGGCTCAGACTTTCAGGGGGTTAATCATGGATCAAGTCATTCCACGTCAGAAGAAGAGGCCTAAATTGATTACGCAAAAAGGTTGTGCTTTGCTATGCACTACTGCTGACCTGTGAATTGTAATTTTTCATATGCATTTATAAGCATTTTAATAGCAAAATTACTAAGGGCACTTCAGTGGTAGTTTCCTTTTTAAATCAATATTCTCACAAAGAGCCTGGGCATATGATTCTTGTCACAAACACTTAGTGCACGTGATTCATTAAAGAGCTGACACTTACTTTAAACAAAAAGGAATAAGACCAGAACGTCTTATATTTTACAGTAGAGCTACTATGTTGATATTTTGAAGCATTTCAATTTTAAAAGGATCTTGACCAACTAAGAGATGATTCTTTCAATAAATGCCATTGATATAGAGAGAGAACGATTACATTTATAAAGCACTTAGGCTTCTTTGTCTTCTTAACTTTTTAAAAATTTAGACATAATAAAAATATAACTGAGATTTTTTTTAAACATGTCATGTGAATTGCACATTAAAGAATGAAGTCCAAAATGTAAACATTTCACTGCTCATTCACATATAATGTATATACAGCAGTAGTTAGCTGACTCGGCATTTTATGTCAATGACTTGGCATGCTGTCTTTTCCCAATGTGTCCCAGATGTTATCTAAAGTTCTGAGCATGTATTAAAAATGTGTCCACATGGATGTGCCTAAGTGTGTTCAGGAGGGAGGAAATCAAACATTGGCATTCATACTTTAATAAAAACTGCTGTTTTGACCAAATGAAAGTTTACTGTTATTATAAAAATTTAAATGGTGAGCATTTATAAAATGCATAGTGCCTTATGGCCTTTAAATCTAACAGCTGACGACATAAATTTTCTGGATGATGATCAAGAACATGTTGATGCAGCTGTTGCCATAGAAAGACAGGCTGAAGCATCTACTTCAGCTTCAAGTAGTTGAGAGTGAGTATGGCTCTTTTCTTTAAATGAGTACCAGTGGCCTATGATTTTTAATAATGAGTACCTAAAGCCCAGATCTCCAGTGAAAACAAAATCTAATTTATACTCTTTAAAAGTCTGGGGCAGGAAGAAGATACTTTTCAACTGCACAAATAAATAGCGAACTCACGTACTGAAAGGCATATTTCTAAAAGTGAATAGTGTTTCAGAAAATCTGTCCCAAAACATCCAGATCTGCATTGAGCAGTATACATGTGCCTATAGTATAACTCTACCGTAAGTCTCCAATGTACTTTCTAACTCATTTGACCAAGTGCACCCTCTCCATCTTGTACTTGTGGGCCCTTCCTGTCAAAGCCTGGGAAGCTTTTACATTGTGAGATGGTTAGAAATTTCTTTATTGCTGGGACAATATCAGTAATAATTATCCAACAACCAATATTAAAAAGGATTTAGAGTTTCTGTTAGTTTTATTACAGTACCTACTCTGTTTTATAAGTGGAAAACTAAGATGATAAAATCTGATATCATACAATTTATGCTTACATCCATCCTTCAACATTAAGAGAATTTCCTAGTTGATGTGTAAGCTGCACATGCATTTTACTTCTCATATTTATGTGTTTTTTTCAACTTTCCAGTGAGAATTACTTTACTCTAAAACCTACATGCTATGGAAATAGAATAGCTCCTTTATTTTTTCTCTTTCATCTAAAGGAGACAAAACAACTTATGTTTTAATTTAGAATCTTACAGTACAGCCCTTCTTTTTTATTGTGGTTTTATAACTTTGCATTAGTAACAGACATCCTTTATTTTCCGTCTATGGAAATACATTATGTCATTTTTAAATTTTTTTCTTCTATGTGTTTGCATGTTATGGATATATTTATTTACAAAAATAATTTTGTATCTTTAAAAAAATTCATGTTGGAAACATAGTACATAGAAATAAAGATGTTAAACAAAAGTATGCAAACCACCAAGATAGTTCACGATGGTACAGTCCAATTCCACTTGCCCTTCCAATGACCTTAGCTGAATTCTAATCCTTTTCTAATACTGTCCTACTGTCCCTCAAAATTGGATTCACTTGTCTTTCTCATTAGTTGCTGAAGATTTCCTGCCACCAGGAAATTTGGTCACCTCAACAAAAGGAAGTACAACCTGCATCTAAATTCAATTGCAGAACTCAGCCTTCTTTTACAAATGCTATGCATTTGAATTTATTAAGATGGTATGGTCTGTTTAGAACATATCCATCATAATAAAACTCAATAGAAAATTAGTTAATGTTTTAGAAATAACTTTTTTTAAAAAAATATATTTTTATTTATTTCAGAGAGGAAGGAAGAGGGAGAGAGAGATAGAAACATCCATGATGAGAATCATTGATTGGCTGCCTCATGTACGCCCCCTACTGGGGATCGAGCCCACAAATCGGGTAAGTGCCCTGACTGGGAATGGAACCATGACCTCCTGTTTCACAGGTTGATGCTCAATCACTGAGCCACACCAGCCAGGCCAACAACTTCTTTAAGTAATAAAGGGCTTGTTATACATTTCATAGAACACTGGCCTGGGTGTAGAACCTGTTTGCAATAGATGCTGCAACTACTGGTCCTGGAAGCAGACAAGAGAGAGGTTTTCTTTCTCTTTTCCTTTTCTATATACCCAGCTCTGGGGTCACCCAGAAAAAGTCAGCTGCGGAGAGGGAGGCTGACTGGGTGAAATGCTGGGCCCAATTCCCAGTGTAGCTCAAAGACTCACATTTGTTTTACATACTCTATTGGACTTCTAAATAAAATATTCTTTGAAGGAATACAGTTAAGGTTCTTAAAAAATTTTTTAAGTATTCGGAAACCACATTAGATGATTCCTTTCTAAATGCTGTTATGAGTTTATACCAATTTATTAAATCACACTGGGCTGAGATAAAATGATGGCTGCATTTAGATATTTCAGTATTAATAAAATGAGTAACAACATCAGGTCTGCATGCTTGTCCCTTGGATCCCAACTGCATTACACATTGCACGATGTAGGGACACTGTAATCATTAACTGATATTAATGAGATGTGCGACTATATAGCAGTGGCCCTGATCAAATAAAGCACAAATAAGACGCCCTAGGTATACCTTTATGACTGATAAAATAATGTTTAGATAGTTTATAAATGGTCTTTAACAACTGATGTTAACTAAATAGAATCTGTGGGATTTCATACCCTCGTGCTGGAATATTCAGGTGCCTTGCAGACTTAACAACCTCCTCAAACTTCTCCATACTTTCTTCAATAGAACAGTTAATATTCTTCCTGCTAAAGGATTCAGATGCAGCACCAAAAACAGATATCTCTGTGGCCCCAGCAGCAACCTGAAAAACATAATTTAAAGGCAAAAGCTAATAAGTTTAAAACTACTCTATAAAGGCATACTTGTATTCTTTAACATCTGCCTTAGAATTTAAAATTACATTCCTCTCATATTGCCACATACTCTCTTTTGAAATGTAAAAATATTTTATAATAACAGAATAATTCCAGAAACCACAACACTCATAAATACATGAGGCACAGAAAACACAGTAATGATGTTCCAATATAATATTGCCTTTCCTAAATGACGTTACCCTCAGAAATATTTCACCTTAATTATGGAAAATACTAGCACCCAATAAAACCTCTTAATATCAATAGAAAACATAATTTTTAGACCAATTATTAAAATAGAGTACAGTAAATGCTTTCCTTTTCTTCTCTTCTTACAGTCTAACAGAAAAACATTTCTCCAGTTCATCATTTAGATAATGTCCCAAATCTTCCCACCTATTTTTAAAAATACATATTTTTTTATTGATTTTAAAGAGGAAGGGAGAGAGAGATAGAAACATCAATGATGAGAGAGAATTACTGGTTGGCTGCCTCCTGCACACCTCCCACTGGAGATCGAACCCACAACCCAGGCATGTGCCCTGACTGGGAATTGAACTGTGACCTCCTGGTTCATGGGTTGATGCTCAATCACTCAACCACACTGGTCTGGCTCTTCCACCTCTTAACCTAGCTTCCAGTGGTTCATCCCTTGACTGCTACCACCATATTCTTCTGTGTCTAATGCCTAATCCTCTTGCCAGTCTTTAAATCCAACCAGTTAACCTAATCAATTTTTTTTTGGTCCCTTTTACCATCTTCACTCCTTCCCACAGGCTTCGCTAGTGACTTTTTTCAAATGTCAAGCCTCCTAGTTTTCCAGCTGAAATTTAAGACTTTCTATGAATGTATCTCTAGCATTGTGCCAAAATTTTCCTCTCTTTCTGATACCCTATTAATACATTAAGAACAATAAATTCTGTCATCTTTCCTGTAATTTAAATTGTATATATATATATATATGGGCTTCCACTTTTCCAAATAAATTTTTAAGCTCTAAAATTAAATTTATTAAACACTTACTATGTGCCAGTATTGTTGTTAGTACTTTGCATATCCTATTTCAAATCAACAATCTTGTTTACTGCATATTATTATACCGTTTTATAGTTGAGAAAACTGGAGACAAAGAAGCTAAATCACTAGCCCGAGGTCACAAAGCTATCAACACTCTGGAGCCTTGTTCTGAGCACAGGCTTGCCTCACGCCCAAGCCAACATTTGTTTCACTCCTTTACTTACTTACAAAAGCTATTATGGGATGTCCTTTCAGTATGTTTTCAAGGTAGATACATTCCCTGCTTTTTTTAGGCCCAAAAGACAGCAATATTTATAATTTCTTAAAATGCCTCTTTTTTCTTTACAATGTGACAAATCATTATATCGAATCAAACTAAAGTGGTTTTAACAAGACACACTAATACCCACCACCTCAACTTTATGCAATGGAGTCCGAAATACAAAAGTGAAAAATATCCATTAACATCAGAAACAGCTGCTGTGAAACTTTTACACTAAAGCTATGGAAGCGTAACACCTTAAGCCTTTCCTTAAAATTGCACTAATTCTTTTATGTGTAATTACTAAAGCTTTTGCATATAAATCCCTAAATTGCAGAGGACTAGGAGGAAACAAGCCAGAGAGGAACAGGAAGGCTGTGAGAGGTGGTTCCAATGAGAGCGACTGGCTTCAGCCAGAGGAGAGAGCAGCAGCAGCAGAAAGCTGACCCCAAAAGTGGACAAGAGTAATCATTCACTACAATAGTAGCAACTACAATGCTGTACTGAGAAATGGTTAGTTAGGGTATATTCCAGTCCTTATTTAAAGGGAATGCACAAAATATCCAAAAAATTCATCAAAATGAATAATTGTATTTTTGTGTTTTGATTCCTTTGAATGGTTAACTTGGAAGAACCATTTACACAGAGCACTCTAATCCCTAATTGTTCCATGAGGTTACTAATCTCCAGGTATTCGTGTGAATATATTAGCATAGTATTTATAAAGGATAACAAGTGAGGTACATTTGACGCCATTTTAACTTTGTAAGGACCTTTAAAATAATAAGACACTGATTTTCGAAAAATTAGTAGCATACTTACAGCACGGTGAAAACCCTGAAGATTAGGAGTAAGGACAGGATATCTAACTCCTGGATATTGATGAATGCCTTTCATCACTTCAGTGTGATCAGCCATCTTAAACACATAATAGTTATATGTAAATATATCACTCAATATTCTATGAAGCAGGCTTTTAGTTTTTCAGGAAGATTATAATTGCATGCAATTAATTAATGTATATTCTATAAATCAATGTTTGAAATAACAAAACTATACCAATATCACTAAAAATATGTTGTTTTCAACGCCATAAATATAGAATACCTAGATCTGGGTTTAACTTAATTCATAAAATTATTACAGCCCTAGCTGGTTTGGCTCAGTGGATAGAGCATCAAACCTCAAATTGAAGGGTTTTGGGTTCAATTCTGGTCAAGGGCTCGAACCTCGGTTGGGCTGAGTGCAGGAAGCAACTAATCTATGTGTCTATCTCATATTGATGCTTCTCTCTCTCTCTCTGTCTTTTCCCCTCTCTTCCTCTCTCTCTAAAAAATACAATGGGAAAATATCCTTGGGTGAGGATTAACAAAAACAAAAAAACGTTATTACAAATGATCATGAATCCTAAATTCTACTATTTTCATTTACTGATCTTTATTCTCTTTCTTTCATTTCATAGACCAAGCCTCAAATACCCCTGAGATTGGGGAGAGTTTGAAAGACAATATGTTATGCATTTACCTTCCACATGAAAATTTTATGTCCAAATAATTTTCAGTGTTGAAATTTTATAATGCTTAGTACAGTGAAAATTACACATCTCTGTTAGGATAATTTAACAAGGCTGAGATACCAGTATATTGCATATATGTTTTATTTAGTAATATTCATATTGCTTTATGCTGCACTGTCATCAGATTACTGTGTGTTTTCATAATGCAAACAAAAAAAAACACAATGGAGTATACAACAGGAAAATTTAACTTATCCTGAAAGACTTCATTTTTCTATATTTTCTATGACTCATAAAAATAATCAACCTTGAATTAAAATATCAAATTTACTAGTTTCCACAAAGTGTATAATTTAGCCGCCTAGAACAATAATTGATGATCCAATCCCATAACCGTCACATAGATAAATTACCACTGACATAATCCTGAGCTTCACACATTTATGAATAATAAATTATGGCATGAAAAATAAACATGAGGAACAATATGTAAACAATGAAAATTATATGAAATGAGCATGGATAAAGCTGTGAAAACATATATACCAATCCAAAATTTGTATCTTCAATATAGGAATGGATGAGGGAAGGCTTGTGTTTTCTCTACAATACTGGTTTGTTGTAATGAACATGTATTGTTTTTCATTTAAAAGTGAAATAAAAGTAAAACAAAGTATAATTTTTTTCTTAATATAACTACACTTTTAAAAATATGAAATTGTTATAATATTTACTCTTATTCTTCAATTGGTCTTACTGACTCTCAGTTAAATGCCAGTAGAATTAAACTTAATACTTTCAATGAATATAATTTGGAACAATTACATAAAAATTTAAAATTAAATATTTAGAGGCAAAAAGAGTACCTCTCATTGACTACCATCATGCCTTATGGACATGTAAGCTTTCATGCTTCATTCTTTCCATACGCATTTATTTATCTGAAATGTGATTCTTACACACTTATTTCTTAGGGGTCACATGTACATAGGGATATCCCCCCCACCTCACAGCTGCATCATTTACGACTATCCACTGTAGTCATCTCCATTGCATAAAAGCTAAGTCATTTCATTCTAAGTTGATTTAACTTTAATCCAGATGTTTATTGAGCACCTACTAGGTCTAAAGCCCTATGGTAGGCCCTGTGGGAAATATAAATACAGAAAAGTAAGGTCCTTGCACTAAATAATGCACAATATAGTGGGGGAGATAAAACAGATGCACATGGAAAGATAACAATCCAAAAGAATATACTGGCTATAAATGAGAGTACAGATTATAAGATGTGGATTTCTCATTGAGGGAGGCCATTGTGGGGAAATGAGCTGATATGCTGTGAGAAAAGCTCAGCTTATGCAGAGAGGCCACATGAAGAGGCCCACATGGAGAGCAGTCAGCATCAGCATGACCCCTAAATTTGTGATCCAAGGGCGATTTAGATGACTTTATCCTCCAGCATGTGAGTACCAGATGAGGCCCCATACAGTGTGAACCAGAAACAACATGCCCTTCTATACTACTCTGCTCTAATTTCAATCCTCAGATTTTTGTTAGTTTAACAAATGTTTATTTATACCACTAAGCTCTCAGGAAATTCATTACATAGCCAAAAAGGCTGAAACAATAAAAAAAAAATCAACAGGGCTGGAAAAGAGGAGGACAGGTGCACAGATAAGAACCTGATGTTTGGCTAGAGAAGAGCCAGCCACTGTGATGTTTTTGAGTTAAGTTCCCATTACTCTAAAATTCCCAGATACTGTGAAAGGAATAGAAAGCCACGTGGAGTGGGTGTTTAATTAACAGGAGAATCCTGGAACAAATGCAGTATTTTAGGAAGAGTAATCTGGGAGAGATGCAAAGGGCAGGCTAGAGAGTAGAGAGGCAATTTTCAGGCAATTTTGCTAAGTTCTGTTGTAGAGAAATGGCACAGGGAATAGATAACCCCAAAAAAACCAGTGGGACACAGAGGCTACTAGTATAAGGCCATGGCTTTGCTTAAAAAATGTTGTCCTTGGTATTGTATAACCTTCTTTTCAAAATATCTTATGTTTGTGCATATTTCAACACAATTCTCGATTGCATCTTCATGAATTTAGCCTTTGTGCTCGAGTGTCACTCATTCTCTTTTTCTTCCTCCCTCACTCCCTCTCTTGCAAGCACATGTTTTCTCTCAGACATGTACATGTAAACATGCACACACAAATTATAATACAAATTTTAGAGCTTTTATTTCTAATTTGAAGAAGAAAAGCAAAGTCACAACTAGTTTTAGGATATTGCAATGAAATCTAAAACAACACTCTCTTACCAGAGAATAATGTTAATCGGTACTATGAACACTTATGTCTAACTAAACATAGTATGCTTAAATATTTATTAGAGACATTTACATTAACATGATAACAAATAGGCATAAAGAGTGCTTCTCTAACCAACACACAGATTAGGGTAAAGTATGTGCATCAGAAAAGAGCACAAAGGGCACAAAACAAAATTTAATCCTTAAGAAATGTAGGTTTTATTATCCTGTAAGTGATTATTTCATTTTACATGTTATTTAACAAAAATGTTGAACCAAAATGAAGAAATGTATGTAATGGAATAATGACTCAAGAGATGCTTCATCAGTAGAACCAGAAAATAAACAGAAACAAAGTAACTAAATTATTAGGTCATGAAAACTAAGCTTTGATAATCATTAAAGATACCTTAATGAAATTATCATAAATATATTAATTAGAATCCACCAAATCAGTATTTTATTTCCTTTTTGAAAATAGTCACAATATAATGAGGTATTTTTAAAAAATAACAGTATTGCCCTGACTGGCTTGGCTCAGTGGATAGAGTGTCGGCCTGCGGACCAAAGGGTCCCGGGTTCGATTCCGGTCAAGGGCATGTGCCTTGGTTGCCAGCACATCCCCAGTGGGGGGTGTGCAGGAGGCAGCTGATCGATGTTTCTCGCTCATCAATGTTTCTAACTCTCTATCCCTCTCCCTTCCTCTCTGTAAACAATCAATAAAATATATTTTAAAAAAATAACAGTATTCTGTCTAAATTTGGTCAATAAAGACAATTATGGAAAGAGCTTTAGGAAATGCTGATAGGATATAATTGTATTATAATAAATAAAATAGAGCAGGTTTCAATGAAAGGTATAAAGTCCCAGCCTTATTTATTTATTCATCATTTATTTAACTCTTAGGTGTACACGTATACTTTAAGTTTGATGTTCTTTTGATGTCTAACGTTTATTATTCAAACAATAAGAAAACTATTTGTTTTTTAAACAAATCTTTATTGTTGAAATTATTACATGCCCACCTTTTTCCTCCATTGACTCCTTCTATCCCTATTTCTTTCCAATATTATAACTTTTCTACATCTGGTTTTATTAAAATATTTTAAATATTTTTTGTAATTTTTCATTTAAAATCATAAATATCCCCACAATTTGGTTGGTAACATGCTTTGCCATCATCTTGCCTCAGTCTGGAAATGGCAATATATATATGTCTATCTAGCCAACAAAACAGGCTATACCAGGGGGCCTCAAACTTTTTAAACAGGGGGCCAGTTCACTGTCCCTCAGACCGTTGGAGGGCCGGACTATAGTTTAAAAAAAAACTATGAACAAATTCCTATGCACACTGCACATATCTTATTTTGAAGTAAAAAAACAAAACGGAACAAATACAATATTTGTATTTGCATGCGGCCCGCGGCCCGTAGTTTGAGGACCCCTGGGCTATACCATGGTTAATCAATTCATAGGCATTCATATTTTGATATGGATTCAAATAATTACAATATTTGTGCAACACTCCAAAAGTCTTTTAAAAATATGCAAAGTGTCACAAGGATTAGAATGTAACAGGTGTATAGTTAAGAGATTTTATTGTATCTGCTACTCATTCTATCATGGTGTGATTAAATTTGGACACTCTACACATTATACATATGTATATCTCTTCTAATACTTTGTTTTTATCTGAATGCTATAGCTCTCCTAAATATTTAGGATTTCAATGTGTTCTCCAGGCAACAGCACTGGCTAAAATATAGTTTGAGTATTAAGTGTTGTCATCTCACATAAATTCCCTAAAATTACAGAATTTTACGATAATGCATGAGTATGTAGTCATAAAAAATGACAACAGGTTTCCCATAAGTTTAAGAGAGGAAAATATTGGAAGTTTCAACTACATTTTGTAATAGACTATAAAATTTACCATTGGGGCATACAAAAGTTAATTTCAAAATATCATGAGACCTTAAAATATCATGATTTTTATAATTCATTTTAATATTTGAATACTGACTCATTTCAACATTTTATACACTTACTGTATATCTAACATCATGGCATAGAAAAATAAAACTGATGCAGCCAATACAC